GCGTCTTCCTGGGGTTCCCCCCCGACGCCCCTGGGTGGCAGTTTTACCACCCCACCTCTCGACGTGTTCTGTCCTCCCAGGACGTCACGTTCGACGAGTCGGTACCCTACTACCGCCTCTTCCCCTACCGCACTCCGTCCCTCCCCCCGCCCCCGCTCTTCTTGGTACCAGGCCCCCCCCCCGGTCGTCCCCCTCCCCCCTCAGGGTCCTGCCCCTTCAGGTGTGTCCCAGGTAGACGCGGTCGAGCCTGTCGAGGTCACTGGTGACTCTGGTGCTGCTGGGGGAGCTGAGCCTGAGGGTGCGGGGTCTGGGGGTGCTGAGCCTGGAGGTACTGTGCCTGGGGGTGCTGAGCCTGGAGGTGTCGAGCCTAGGGGTGCTGTTCCTGGGGGTGCTGAGCCTGGGGGTGCTGTGCCTGGGGGTGCTGAGCTTGGGGGTGCTGAGCCTGGGGGTGCTGAGCCTGGGGGTGCTGAGCCTGGAGGTGTCGAGCCTGGGGGTGCTGTTCCTGGGGGTGCTGTGCCTGGGGGTGCTGAGCCTGGGGGTGCTGAGCCTGGGGGTGCTTCGTCTCGCCGGGAGCCACTCTCCCCACAGGAGCTGCGTGAGTGGTTTACCAGGCGCTGGAGGCGTGCTGCTGGTGCTGGTGGTTCTTCGCCTGCAGTGGGTACTGCTGCCGCGCGTCCCGACGGTGCTCGTACTGTGGGTGCTGGAGCTGCTCGGTCTGAGAGTTCTCCTGGAGCTGGTACTGCTGAGGGTGTTGGCGCTGAGCCTGCCGCTGGTGGTCCGACTGACAGTGCTCCTGGTGCTGCTGTTGGGGGTTCTGGAGCTTCTGGAGGTGCTGCTGGAGGTGCTGCTGGCGTGGGTTCTCCTGACGGGGGGACTGGTGCTGTTCCTGCTGTTTCTGGTGTCGCCGTGCGGCCTCGACCGTACTTCGTTCCGCTCCTACAGCAGGTTCTTGGTCTTGCACCTCCTCCTGCTTCCTTAGAGGGTCCACAGCCTGTTCGGTCACAGCCACAGCTACAGCCTGCCTCCCCTTTGCCTGCTCCTTCTCCCTACGCTGGTCCGACTGGAGGTCTTACTGAGCGTCGTGAGCCTGCGTCTCGTCCTGCGTCGCCTGTTCGTACTGAGCGCGCTAGTGGTCGCGGGTCGCGTCAGCGTCCTCCTCCTGTCCCTGGCACGCACCGGATGTCACTGCGTCCGTCCACTGCTCCTCTGCGTGCCCCTTTGCCTTCTCCTCCTGCTTCCTCTCTTCCTGCTCTTGCCGACCCGGAGTCGGACTCTCTTCGTGCTGCCAGTCCTACTGTCACGCGTCTCCTTGCTACTGCTGTCACTGACCCTTCCTTTGAGTCGTCTGCTGCGTCTGCCCTTCTCACTGAGCTTGTCGACTTTGCTGCGCGCTGTCGTCTAGACTACGCTGCTCGTCTTGTCGCTGCGTCTGAGTCCGCCTGTCCTCCGTCCGTCGGGGGTGAGTGTGCCCTTGGCACGGACGTCCTAGAGGACAGGCAGGAGGAGTTACAGTGTCTAGCGGCTGCTTCACCTCATCTCGCGTCTGTACTGCTTGCCCCTGAGGGAGACCCGGATGCACTAGACATCCCGACTCCGCGTTCTTACGCGGAGGCCGTAGAGGGTCCCTACTCCTCTCAGTGGCAGGCAGCTATGGATGCAGAGATGGCTTCCTGGAAGTCCACAGGCACCTACGTTGACGCGGTTCCCCCTCCTGGGGCGAACATCGTCAGTGGCATGTGGATCTTCAGGGTGAAGCGGCCGCCGGGCTCCCCGCCTGTCTTCAAGGCGCGTTACGTGGCTCGTGGCTTCAGTCAGCGGCAGGGGGTTGACTACTTTCAGACCTTCTCTCCCACCCCGAAGATGACCACTCTTCGGGTGCTGCTGCACATTGCCGCTCAGCGCGACTACGAGCTTCACTCCCTCGACTTCAGCACTGCGTTCCTGCAGGGTAGCCTGCACGAGGAGATCTGGCTGCGCCGTCCGCCTGGCTTCACTGGGACTTTCCCTCCTGGCACCCAGTGGAGCCTCCGACGGCCAGTCTACGGTCTCCGCCAGGCACCGCGTGAGTGGCACGACACACTGAGGACTTCGCTTGCGGCTCTTGGGTTTGCTCCTTCTACTGCTGACCCGTCGCTGTTTCTTCGCACCGACACTTCCCTGCCGCCGTTCTACATCCTCGTGTACGTCGACGACTTGGTCTTTGCCACAGCGGACACTGCTGGACTCGCCTACGTGAAGTCCGAGCTGCTGAAGAGACACACGTGCACAGACCTGGGTGAACTGCGCAGCTACCTTGGCTTGCAGATCACTCGGGACAGAGCACGTCGCACCATTACCCTGACTCAGTCACACATGGTGCAGCAGGTCCTTCAGCGCTTCGGCTTCACGTACTCCTCGCCTCAGGCCACTCCTCTGCCTACTCGCCACTCACTCTCAGCTCTGCCTTCGGATGAGTCCGTAGAGTCGAGTGGTCCGTATGCAGAGCTTGTTGGCTGCCTCATGTACCTGATGACCTGCACACGACCTGACCTTGCATACCCTCTGAGCATTCTTGCACGCTATGTTGCTCCTGGGAGACACAGACCGGAGCACATGGCTGCAGCGAAGAGGGTATTGCGCTACCTGTGCAGTACGTCGGGCATGGGGCTAGTGCTTGGAGGGCGGAGTCCAGTGGTCCTTACCGGCCACGCGGACGCTTCTTGGGCTGACGACCAGGCTACGCAGCGGTCGTCACAGGGTTACACCTTCAGCCTTGGTTCCGGTTCTGTCTCGTGGCGGTCTACTCGCTCGTCTTCGGTTCTTGGCTCCAGTTGTGAGGCTGAGATCTACGCCGGGGCCATGGCTGCACAGGAGCTTCGCTGGCTCACCTACCTGCTGACCGACCTTGGAGAGCCGCCTCGTTCTCCTCCAGTGCTGTACGTAGACAACAAGGCCATGCTGGCCTTGTGTCGAGAGCAGCGCTTGGAGCACAGAACGAAGCACATTGCTCTCCGCTACTTCCTTGCTCGTGAGCTGCAGCAGCGTGGTCAGTTGCGACTTGCTTACGTGGCCTCTGAGGCCAACACTGCTGATGTGTTCACCAAGGCACTTGCGCCTTGTGACCATCAGCGCTTTTGTACCCAGCTGGGTCTTGTACCTGTCTTGCCTCACTTGCTCTCTTCTTGACTTTACTTGTACTTTGTCATATATATACCTGCTCCTGCTTGTCTAGTTTTATCTATATGTCTGTACTCCTGCATGTGAACTGGCCTCTGGCCCTGCTCTTGTGCTCGGACTGTGTGGTGACTTTGTGATCCACCCTGAGCTTGCTTTGCTTTGCTTTGCTTGACTGGTCTTGTGACCCCTTGTTCTCCCCCACTTTGCCTATGGGGGTGTGTCAGATTATTATAGCTGATGCATGTTTGTAGGCTATAGTGGGGTAGCACATATGGGGTACAGTTTGCTAGGTTTGTATTTGTACCCAACTCTGACTTAGTGAATTCATTCCTGTTCAGTTAGTTTCACACGTACCCCCACCGAGGACAATTGGGTTCCCCTGGAGAAAGTTGAAACTCACCCCGTTGTCACCGACTACCTGCGTAGCCGCAATTTCCGAGACATCCACGCGCTTTCATAAGGAGGACCTCCTTAGGAGGGGGGGTAGTGTAAGGAAATTCCCTTTTCCTTACTTCGTGTCCCTGCTCAACGCGTACATCACTGTAGCACCTCAGTCAGCACCGTTACCACTCGCGACCATCGCATCATTCATCATCCCGCCCTTTTCGCACATCGCATCCCGACCTCACGGCTCGGCTGGTAACCCGCGCTCCGGACCTACGCTTCGACACTTTCCCAACCTCAGTCCCAGGCTCGTCGCGCGACCATTACCGTTACCACGGTAGTTTCGCTATATAATGTTCGCTCATGCCTTCGCTCAATTGTATTCTTGCTTCGATAGTGCAATTCTCGTTCGTTCACTCAATTGCACTCGTAACAGGGGAAGACGAGTGCCAAATGCCCACACCCTTTCATCATCGCTTGGCCATGTGGCTGTAGAACAGCGCCATGTAGAGATCCTCTGGCAAGTCTTTCGTAGGGAAGGGAGGGATGCTTCGCTTGTGGCCTTCCTTCCAGAACCTACATGAACCTAGATGAAAATATATTGAACCCGTCGAAATATCTTTACGCTCCCCTGACATGGGCCCGAATTGCGCTCTGTCCAACCGCCTGAAATCTGGCACCGCAGCGAGTCGCCAGATCCAAGGTGCTGCTGATAGTATACTGCACGTTCCAATACGGTGCTGTCTCGTGACGCCTTCATCCTGGCTGGGGAATGACTGACACAGGCCGAGCACAACACATCAAGTGAAATGAGAGGATGGACTTGCCAACAGGGGGAGGCTCATGTTTCCTTCTCACACTCGCATTCGCACTGCGGAGGCGTTCAGGTTGTAGTTCGAGAAAGGAGTTGGAGAAGAGCAGCGAGAGCAGCGAGCAGTGCAGCAGTGGCTCTTGCACATGTGCCGTAGGCCGTGGTGCTTCCATTCACAGCGCCTAACTCTGGACTGCACGGCCTCCGTATCCTCTTTCCTTTCTCCCGGACGGTCTGAAACCGCAGAGCTGGCCGGTCGTGTGTCTGGGTCCTGAACATACCACATCCATCATTCTGTTCTTAACGCGCACTGGCGAGATTTGCGAAACCACGTGGAAGTCCAAACCGAGCTAATAGGGATCACTCGCTCGATGCGCGCATCGCTAAGGAGCTACAAGCGTGACCACGGAGGCGTGGGCGAGGAGAAGTGATGCACTGCTCACACCCATTTCCTTAGCCGATTCTGTTCTAATTTCCTAAGGACATTCGTATTTGCTCCCCTTGCTCTGCGGTCGCGATCTGCACGTTGCGGCGAGAGACGAAGCGACGCTAATCGCGTGACCACTCTCTTATCATCGACGCGATACGGCTCATCCGGTAGCCGCTATCCGTAGTGCATTCTAGCCTCTCTTTGATCAACACAAACACAATGTCCCGTTTTTGGCGGAAAGCGGCGACGCGAAGGCCGCCGTTGCAGCTCGTGCTATCAGCGGGGCTGCTGGCCGCGGCGGCGATCGGCTGCCTCTCCGTATGGCCCGTGACGGCCGGCATGGCTAGCGCCGCAGGCGACGCGGCGAACAGCACGCAGGACAAAGACGACGCGGCTCTGCTGTACGCAGTGAGCATGGCGTGTGACGGCATGGTGTCTCAACATTTCCCGCCTCCCACACACCTTCCGCCTCCCACACACCCCATCCTCTCCCACACCCTTCCTTTATCTCTCCCGCACCACCCCCCCCGTCCTGTTGCCAGCAATGGAAGCGCGCGTACCGCCTGGGCGAGTCGAACACCGAGCCGCCCGAAACGATCTCGCTGCCGCCAGGGGTGCCGCGCGCACCGCACCTAGAAGACTGCAGCGCGCGGACCGCCGCGCGCCAAGCGCTGGAGAGGCGTGGGCCGCGGGGAGAGTCGCCCGCGTGGGCACGAGCGCGGCTTCCCCAACCCCCGTGGGTACGTGCTGGTGCGGGGCGAGGTGGCGCCGGGGGAGGCAGCGCAGCAACCAGTGCAACAGCGCATTGCTACTCGTGCGCGTGCGTACCTTTCTGCCGCACGAGGCCCGCCCCTCCCCTCACTGCCTTTCTCGAATCCTCTCATCTCGCCCTTTCGCACCCGCCCTCGCTTCCCCTCCCCCCTCCCACCCCTCCTCGTCTTCCGTCCGCCTTCACCCTCCCTCCCGCAGGTGCGCGGGTCGGACGCGGGCAATCTGGGCGGCACGCGGGCGGCGCAGAGGGATCTGTGGGAGCACCAGTTCCCGCCGCACCGCTGCCGCGGCCGCCGCCTGCTGCTGGTGCGGTGGCTGGACATGACGGGGCACGGGCTGGGCTCGCAGCTCCACGTCATCGGTGCGCCCCCGCGCCCTCTCGCCTCGCCTATGACCGTCCTTTGCACGTGATTCACTCCCATCGATCCTCCTTTGCACGTGATTCACTCCCATCGATCCTCCTTTGCACGTGATTCACTCCCATCGATCCTCCTTTGCACGTGATTCACTCCCATCGATCCTCCTTTGCACGTGATTCTCTCCCATCGATCCTCCTTTGCACGTGATTCACTCCCATCGATCCTCCTTTGCACGTGATTCACTCCCATCGATCCTCCTTTGCACGTGATTCACTCCCATCGATCCTCTCCTCTCCCCTCCTCGCCTCTCTTCATACTCTCTCTCTCTCCGCCGCTCACCCATCTCCCACTTCGTCTTCTCTTCTTTCTGCCCCCCCACCCCTTGTATTCGTGTCCTGCCCCACTTGTCCCCCTGTTCTCCTCGCGCTGCTCCTCACCCCGCGCGTCTCACTGCTCCTCGCCCCGCGCGTCTCACTGCTCCTTGCCCCGCGCGATTCACTACTCTGCGCACGGCGGGCCGCGCAGGGTCCGTGCTGAGCGTGGCCATGCTCTTCAACCGCACGCTCGTCATCGTGCCAGGAAGCTTCCCGCAGGCGGACCACAGCGAGTGCGAGGGGGCGGAGAGGCGCGGGTCGCTGGACTGCTACTTCTTCGCGCTCACCTCCTCCCACTGCCGCAACATCGCCATGCGCGCTTATAACGAGTACAAGGCGAAGCGGGGGCTGGAGGGGCGGTCTCGTTGGAGGGCGTGGACGGCCATGCAGCGCCGCCGCATCTCTGCCCACCGCACCTCCGCTGCCCACCGCACCTCCGCTGCCCACCGCACCTCCGCTGCCCACCGCACCTCCTCTGCCCACCGCACCTCCGCTGCCCACCGCACCTTCTCTGCCCACCGCACCTCCTCTGCCCACCGCACCTCCGCTGCTGGCACCACGGCCCGTGCAACGGCCCTCGCCGCACGTGCTGGGGGTGGGCAGGGGGGCATAGAGAGCGTTGTGGGCCGGGCGGATGAGGGGCGCAGGGGGAATGGGGCAGAGGGGGCGGATGAGTGGGAGGCGGAGAGTGGGGAGGTGCGGTGGTGTGGGTACGATACGAAGCGCACGCTGGAGTCGGATGCGGTGGTGGTGTTTGGGTGCAGCCCCCTGCTGCCCGCCTGGGCTGGCCGCCGCTACCTCAAGCTCCTCCGTGGCGCCGCTGCTCTGTACGCCCCCCCTCCTCCCCTCCTGCTCCTGCCTCTCTGTGTGTGTGCATTTGCATGTATGCATGTGTGAATGTGTTGATAGGTCTGTATGGTACTGTGTGTGCACACAGACGTGCTACCATTCTAATGAGTGCAATTTGTTATGCTCACATTCGCATGTGGTGACTGATCAGCACTCGCTGACTGTGCTCTGTACTTGTATCTGCTGCCATGTGCTCTTGCTGTCACACTTTCCCAGCTCTCCCATCCCCCCACCCCCACTCACCTCACCACATTCCCCCATCCAGTACGCTCCCTCCAGCTATCCCCACTCGCAGCATGCCAACGTCCCAATCACTCGCCTCGTCCACCTCAACGTCATCTACCCCTCCCTCTCCCTTCTTTACCCTCATGCCACGTGTCCTCGCCTGTGTGTCCTCGCCTGTGTGCTCTCGCCTGTGTGCTCTCGCCCGTGTGCCCACACTCTTCGCCGGGATGGCAGGCTGTGGGGGGGGGCGTATAGGGAGCGCACAGGGACCAACGAGGTCAGCGGGCAGCTCGTGCGCAGCAACACCACGGTGCTCAAGGTGCGCAGCAGCACCACGGTGCTCAAGGTACCCCAAACGCGTGCTCTGCTCACGTTGCTTGCTTGGTTGTTCTGCACCTTCCACACCTGGCGAAGTGTAAAGCATTTCTCCCTGTTTCGTTATACCTCGTCCCTGAGTGCACTGGGGAGGGGCTGCACTGCATGTGTCTTCCTGCGTACACCATTCCTCTTTCCAGAGTAGCGTCGCAATATTATTGTCCTGTCCCATCACACCCCCTCCTCCCTTTCCCCCTCCTCCCTCCCACTGTGCAGGTGCAGTGGTGGCGGGCACAAGCACTGCGCTTCATGCTGCGCTGGCCCTCGCCCTACCTCTGCCATCTGCTCAACCGCCACCGCCACAGCGCCTACGGCATGCACGTGGCGCGCAGCACAGCAGGCGCCATGCACGGCCAGCAGCACGTGCTGAGCGTGGCGGCTCGGCTGGCCAGCAGCCTGGGGGAGGACCTGCGCGGGCACCTGCTGGCAGAGGCCGTGGGCGCGTGGGCGGGGGGCGTGGGGCAGGGGGCCGCCTCACCCCTGGCACTGCCGGTAGCAGAGCCTGGCAGCACCGCTGCTGCGCTGCAAGCACGCTCACTGCTGCTCTTGCACGAGCCTGCTGCTGCTGCTGGCGATGGCGATGGTGGGGGGGGAGTGGGGGCGGAGGCGTACATGCCGCGGCCGATAGTGAGTGTGCACGTGCGGCAGGGCGACAAGGGGCGTGAGATGCGGCTCTTCTCCTTCCCCTCCTTCGTCTTCCTCGCCAACCGCCTGCGCCGCCTCGACCCCGCCCTGCACAACGTGTGGCTCAGCACTGAGATGCAGGTGAGATGCAGGTGAGATGCAGGTGAGATGCAGGTGAGATGCAGGTGAGATGCAGGTGAGATGCAGGTGAGATGCAGGTGAGATGCAGGTGAGGTGCAGGTGAGGTGCAGGTGAGGTGCAGGTGAGGGGTTGAGCACGAAGGTGCAGGTTCAGCTACTGGATGTGCAGTTGGGGAAGATGAGCAAAGGGGAGGGAAGACAAGGGCAGGAGGGCGTGGGTGGCGAAGCTGAGAGATGAGTGAGACCAGGCTGCGGTGTGTGTGCCTTAGCTGGCAAGACGGGCCAGACAGTGCCTCGGTGGATTGGTGCCTGCCACCTGGAGACTCCTTCAATAGAGTGGCCATCTCTGGCGTGGCACACCCCTCATCCACCCGTTATGCCTCTACTTTCCACTCCAATACCAACCACACCTTTGCCTTCTCTCGCTTTGCCTTCTGCTTTGCTTACTGTCGCTTCTGCCTCTCAGAGTGTGGTGAAGAGATCGTCCAGCTTTGGCAACTGGGATTTCTTTTATTCCAAGGTGCCGCGGCAAAAGGGCAAGGAAACCATGTCACACTACCTTCGCCGCACTGGCATGGCTCGTGTGGTGGGAGCCAGTTTTGCCAACCTGCTGGTGTCCTCAGAGTGTGATTACTTCGTGGGAGTTCTGGGTTCAAACTGGAATCGGCTTATCAATGAGCTGAGACTGACCAACGGGAGGCTATTTGCTGGCTATGTCGCGTTGAACTTTGACGAATGGTAGGTCGGAGCCTCGAAAGGTAGAAAGAAAGGTTAAGAGATATAGAAGTGGAAACATATGTAAGTTAGTAGAATTGAGTGGTTTGCAGAATGGTTGATTAGATTTGCTTATAACTGTAGTTTGTTGCGCTGAGCTTATTGTTTATGTGTCAGCCAAATTATAGAGCATATTCATTCTGAAACCTGCCTTGTAGTCCGCAAGACCTCTCAGCTCACCTTTATTCAAACAAACCGGACTCAGGATGATTTCGCGTACATCTCTAACGAAATTATTCAGTGTGCGCGCGAATCTGTGTGCTGTGCACACTTCACTTTCCACTTCCGTTGAAGTTCGACCAATCTCAGCCAAGGCGCCGCACTACGAGAAATCGATTGGTGGTGGTTGATAAGTATCCTCAGCGTTCCGCTCAACCGTCAGATTGGCCTTCGCTCAACCCCGTGTAGGGGTCAGTCAGTTCACCATGGCCCAGGCTAGCAATCTGACAGGGCGTCGCTTTGTACCAGTAGAAACCCCAGAGGGCGCGGTTCGGGACATCCTGCAGGAAAACAAAAACCTGGTACTGCATGGTGAACATGCTTTGTCACGATTTTGCCGCCAAAAAGCCTTCCGCGTGCCGAAGCCTACATTCTGGCCCTGTTCGCCACGCCTTTGCTGGGCCTTCAGAGGGATGGGCGGGGGTCTGGAATCCGCCCTGCACCTTCGAAAAGGGGTGAAATCAGGGTTTTAGGGCCGGTCAGACCGACAAAATCCTGTTGAGCCTGACGATCCCCTCCGAACCTCGGAGGGCTCGCTGTCGTGGCGAACACCCACTTTTCTGGGCCATCGAAGGGATGGGCGGGGGATCCAGAATGCGCCTGGCAGTTTCCTGTCCTGCCAGCTCGGAACCCCATCCCCTCCATCGACTCTCCCTCGTGCAGACCACCAATTTCGTAGGCGCCTAACGGGATGGCCGGGGGATTTGAGGGCAGGGTAAACGCCAACGTGTCACCAGAACCGGCCCGGAACAACAAATTTTCGCCCTCCCGAGTGATAAGACAGCTGCTTCAAGTTCACGGAACCCTAAACGCAACTGTGAAGGACGTTTTCTTTTTTCGACACTTTTTACCCGGGCTGATTTGTTTCTTTTTTTCTCTGGTTGTGGATCAGAGGCGGGAAAAAAAGTCCCGCCCTAAACGAAGGTGGGGGGGGGAGGTGCCAGATCCCCTTGGCCCCCTTCCGGATCCCTTTGGAGAAATTTCCATTCGGGGCGAGCCCCCGGACGTAGTTCGCATCTTCCGGCGCACCTTCTGGAGTCCTCGCCCATCCCCCGCCCCTTGCCTATATCGTGGTCGTGGCGAACAGGGCCTCTGTGTTTTACGAAAGCATAACGTTTCATTGGTATCCCCCGTCTGAAGTTGAACGCATTTCGGATCACGCATTTTGATTTGTGAGAGCAATATTTCTGGCTGGGGAAAGGCTGGATGCGACATTCGACGGATGCTGTGGCGATCCGAGCACGCGTGGCCTTACCATCGTTCCTGACCGGAGCCTTCAGAATAAATCGCAGGTAGCTGTTGTGGCAGGACTGATTCTTTCGTTTGAAAGCGCCGAACCTCACGCGAGCGCTGCCGACGTGTTGTCGCTATGGGAGCTTCGAAGTTAAGCAGTTTGGACCAACAGAAAAGCTTCCCGCCAGTTTCACGCGCTTTCAAACTTCCGCGCTACCTCTCTTACGTGTTACAAGCCATCCTTCTGGCCGTGTTCCTCACTGTAAGCTGCGAGCTATCCTGGAGCCTACTAGTCCCGCAAAGCACCGTGAAGCCGTTCGCATTGTGGGGAGACGCGATGGACGGCGCTCGGCGCGCCGTGACGGGGCTGGAAGACCTCGGGGTGGACGCGCGGGGCGTCAGCCAGTACGCTGTTCACCTTCCCGAGTTCACGCGCATAGAGGCGGCGGAAAACGCGAGCCTATGGCAACCCCTAGCGGTTGGAACGGCGGCGCACGATTGGAGGCCGGCGCATGAAAGGCGGGCGGAAAGCGAGGGGGAAGAGGTGCAAGGAGGAGCAGGGCTTGCGCAGGATCCGGCGCGCGGGAGGGAGTTGGTGCGCGCGCTGGATGCGGTGGATTCACGCGCGGGGGACGCAGAGGCGGGCGCAGCGAGTGGGAGCGGGGGCGAGGGGAAGAGAGGGCACGGAAGCGCGAGCGGGTGGGAAGGAGAGAGGACGACGGGGGAAAGAGAGGGGTTGGCAGCAACGTCGCACGAGCTGTCGCAGGGAGGCGAGGAGGTGTCGCAGGGAGGAGAGGAGGTGTCGCAGGGAGGAGAGGAAGTGTCGCAGGGAGGCGAGGAGGTGTCGCAGGGAGGCGAGGAGGTGTCGCAGGGAGGCGAGGAGGTGTCGCAGGGAGGCGAGGAGGTGTCGCAGGGAGGCGAGGAGGTGTCGCAGGGAGGCGAGGAGGCGTCGCAGGGAGGCGAGGAGGCGTCGCAGGGAGGCGAGGAGGTGTCGCAGGGAGGCGAGGAGGTGTCGCAAGGGGGCGAGGGGCTGGATGGAGGCAAGGAGGGGTCGCAGAAAATCAAGGAGGGATCGCAGGGAGGAAAGGAGGGGTCGCAGGGAGGAAAGGAGGGGTCGCAGGGAGGGGAAACGGTGCGGATAAGCAGGCCCAGCGAGGGTTCCGTGAAGATATATGAGGTGCGTGGTGTGAGAATAGGTGAGGTGCGTGGTGTGAGAATAGGTGAGGTGCGTGGTGTGAGAATAGGTGAGGTGCGTGGTGTGAGAATAGGTGAGGTGCGTGGTGTGAGAATAGGTGAGGTGCGTGGTGTGAGAATAGGTGAGGTGCGTGGTGTGAGAATAGGTGAGGTGCGTGGTGTGAGAATATATGAGGTGCGTGGTGTGAGAATAGGTGAGGTGCGTGGTGTGAGAATAGGTGAGGTGCGTGGTGTGAGAATATATGAGGTGCGTGGTGTGAGAATAGGTGAGGTGCGTGGTGTGAGAATAGGTGAGGTGCGTGGTGTGAGAATAGGTGAGGTGCGTGGTGTGAGAATAGGTGAGGTGAACAATGAGAGAGCAAACGGGGTGCGTGCATCCCAACCGACTTTGCCACAACCCCCTCTCAACCCGTCTTTGCCCACGCCATGCCTCCTCCCCTGCTGCCCTCCATTGTGCCACAGGCGTGGGCGGCCGCGTATGGGCTTACCGCAAACTCCTCCCACCCGCCCGCCGAGGTGCACCTCTCCGCCCCCCTGCCCCCCGCGCCCCACCTGCACGACTGTGCTGCGCGCTCTGCCTTCCGCCGCGCCATGGAGCAGCGCGGGCGCAGGGGGCAGGCGCCACGATGGGCGGACGCGGCGGCGCAGCAGTGTGAAGGCGTCCCGCAGCCCCCGTGGGTGAGATGTGCATGCCGCTGCGCGCATGCATGCACTACCTGCGCGCATGCATGCACTACCTGCGCGCATGCATGCATCATCACTATCTACTGCTGTTTTTCTTGTCACACCACCTTCCATCTGCCCTCCTGTGCACTCTTGTCAATCTGTGTGCTCTCGTCCCTCTCGTCTCCCTCTCATCTCCTCTCACACAAGCGCCACCTCATACCCTCCGCACTCACACCTTCCTCACCCTGCCCCCCCCCCCCCCCCACCTCCCACCCCGCTTCCCCTCCCCCCTCCCACCCCTCCTTCTCGTCTTCCGTCCGCCTTCACCCTCCCTCCCGCAGGTGCGCGGGTCGGATGCGGGCAATCTGGGCGGCACGCGGGCGGCGCAGAGGGATCTGTGGGAGCACCAGTTCCCGCCGCACCGCTGCCGCGGCCGCCGCCTGCTGCTCGTGCACTGGCCCGCGCTGCCCCCCGCGCTCAACCGCTCCTGGACAAGGGGGGACGCGCAGGGGTTGGGAGGGGAGGGGGACGGGGAGGGGTTGGGGGAGTGGTTGGCGGGAGCGGTAGAGGCGATGGGGGAGGCGCTGGCAGTGGCGGTGAGCAGTGGGCGCGTACTGGTTCCCGTGGGGGCGTCGTTCAGCCCCGCCCAGCACCCCGCCTGCCGAGGTGCGGTGCACTCATGGGTGGTAGGCACGAGGAATGGCACGAGGGATGGCATGAGGGATGGCATGAGGGATGGCACGAGGGATGGCACGAGGGATGGCACGAGGGATGGCACGAGGGATGGCACGAGGGATGGCACGAGGGATGGCACGAGGGATGGCACGAGGGATGGCAAGAGGGATGGCACGAGGGATAGCACGAGGGATGGCACGAGGGATGGCACGAGGGATGGCACGAGGGATGGCATGAGGGATGGCACGAGGGATGGCACAATGAATGGCACGAGGGATGGCACGAGGGATGGCATAGGGATGGCACGAGGGATGGCACGAGGGATGGCACGAGGGATGGCACGAGGGATGGCACGAGGGATGGCACGAGGGATGGCACGAGGGATGGCACGAGGGATGGCACGAGGGATGGCACGAGGGATGGCACGAGGGATGGCACGAGGGATGGCATGAGGGATGGCATGAGGGATGGCATGAGGGATGGCATGAGGGATGGCATGAGGGATGGCATGAGGGATGGCATGAGGGATGGCATGAGGGATGGCATGAGGGATGGCATGAGGGATGGCATGAGGGATGGCATGAGGGATGGCATGAGGGATGGCATGAGGGATGGCATGAGGGATGGCATGAGGGATGGCATGAGGGATGGCATGAGGGATGGCGAGGTGTGTGGCGTGTGGCAAGAGGGATGGCAAGAAGGCTCGAATGCATGCAAGCTGTCTGGATGCGTGTGTGTGGCACGTGCGCCCTGCACTCCCCTCTAATGCTGCCATGTCTCCTTCCCCCTGCGTGCCCTCCACGCGTGTCGCCCCAGCGCACAGCGCATGGGGCTCGTGGCACTGCTACTTCCACCGCCTCACCTCGCCCGCCTGCCAGGCCGCTGCCCACGCCGCCGTCTCACTCTCCCACCCTGTTATGGAGGGGGGACGCCTGCAAGGGGGACGGCTGGGAAGCACGGACGTGCATGCAGGGGGGGCGGAGGGGTCAGAAGGCGGGGGGGGCGGGATGGGGGCGTGCAGGCCAGTGGCGGAGGTGGGCAGTGCAGTGGCGTCAGAGGCGCGTGTGGTGTGCGCCACCACCCATGTGCGGGCGAGTGCTGCGGTGCAGTGCCGTGATGGCGATGCGGGCGCGGAGCCAAGTGGGAAGCATCCTGCTGAAGCTGCTGCTGCGTGAGTGATGTGATGTGATGTGATGTGATGTGATGTGATGTGGTGTGATGTGGTGTGATGTGATGTGATGTGATGTGATGTGATGTGATGTGATGTGATGTGATGTGATGTGATGTGATGTGATGTGATGTGATGTGGTGTGATGTGATGTGGTGTGATGTGATGTGATGTGATGTGATGTGATGTGATGTGATGTGATGTGATGTGGTGTGGTGTGGTGTGGTGTGGTGTGGTGTGGTGTGATGTGATGTGGTGCGATGTGATGTGGTGTGATGTGATGTGATGTGATGTGATGTGATGTGATGTGATGTGATGTGATGTGATGTGATGTGATGTGGTGTGATGTGATGTGGTGTGATGTGATGTGATGTGATGTGATGTGATGTGATGTGATGTGATGTGATGTGATGTGATGTGATGTGATGTGATGTGATGTGATGTGGTGTGGTGTGGTGTGGTGTGGTGTGATGTGATGTGATGTGGTGTGATGTGATGTGATGTGATGTGATGTGATGTGATGCGGTGTGGTGTGGTGGGATGTGGTGTGATGTGGTGTGATGTGGTATGGTGTGATGTGATGTGGTGTGGTGGGATGTGATGTGGTGTGGTGTGGTGTGGTGTGATGTGATGTGATGTGATGTGATGTGATGTGATGTGATGTGATGTGATGTGATGTGGTGTGATGTGATGTGATGTGATGTGGTGTGATGTGATGTGATGTGATGTGATGTGATGTGATGCGGTGTGGTGTGGTGGGATGTGGTGTGATGTGGTGTGATGTGGTATGGTGTGATGTGGTGTGGCGTGATGTGATGTGATGTGGTGTGGTGTGGTGTGGTGTGATGTGGTGTGATGTGATGTGATGTGATGTGATGTGATGTGGTGTGGTGTGATGTGATGTGATGCGATGTGATGTGATGTGATGTGATGTGATGTGATGTGATGTGATGTGATGTGATGTGATGTGATGTGATGTGATGTGATGTGACCCATGCATGGCAACTTCGAGCTGGGAATGACAACCCGCACTGCACTCGTCAAGCTGCTCGCCACTGTTGACCTTACCCTTGTTTCTCTGTTTCCCCCAACGCCTCCCCCCGTGTCTCTCTCCTACCGTCTCATCCTCATCTACCTCCCATCTCCTGCTGTGTTCCCACATGTGAGCAGCCTGCTGGGCGGGGCGTGGCAGCAGGTGGTGGTGCGGGGGGCGCGGAGGGGTGCAGAGCGGTGTACGGAGAAACAGCAGAAGGTGCCGCCATGTCACCATCATGTGCCACCATGTCACCATGCGTCCACGCCACCGTGCCATGCATGGAGCCATTGTAGCGCTGCTGGGCTGCTGCCACATGCCATGCGTCCTTGCCCTGTCCCTCCACTTTTGCACCTCCCTCATCCTCCTGCTCGTCCCCTCCCCCAATCCCCCCACAAGCAGTGAGGTTGGGCTATCTCTCCTCTTTCCATTGTAGCCACCGCCTTATATCCCTCTCGTCCCTCCACCCCCCCTGCCATCCCCCCCTCCTCTTCGTGCAGGTGCAGTGGTGGAGGGCGCAGGCGCTGCGCTTCATGCTGCGCTGGCCCTCGCCCTACCTCTGCCACCTGCTCAACCGTCACCGCCACCGCGCCTACGGCATGCAAGTGGCGCGCGGCATGGCCACGCACCACGCCGAGGCCCAGGGCATCCTCTCCTCGCTGCTGCTGCCACCCCTGGCCGCCCGCCACCCCATTGCAGCGGGCGCCCTGCAGCAGGAGGGGCGGGAGCTGGCGGCGCTCAACTTCTCGACTGCGCACTCGGTGGAGGCGCAGGTGTGGCCGGGGCTAGGCTTCCACGGGTGTGTGGCGCGCGGGCGCGGCAATGTGATGGCAACGCCGGGCAACCCCCTGTCAGACTACTTTGGGGCGGGGCGCGAGGCGTATGTGCTGCGCCCCATCGTTGCCATGGACACAGGACGGAGGCGAGGGGTGGAGAGGCCGCCAATGCAGCATCTCAAAGAGGATGAGCAGGATAAGGAGGAAGGGGAGGATGAGGAGGTGGGGAGGAGTGGGCAGGAGGGGGAGTTGGAGGAGCGGGGGAGGAGGGAGCAGATGGCGGTGGTGGCGAGTGTGTTCCACGCGTACAGCCTCAGGCAGCACGACCCTGACCTCCACCACGTGTGGCTCACCGCCTCTCCCTCGCAGGTGCGCAGGGTCATCAGCGCAGGTGGTGCAATGAGGCGCGTGGTGCAATGAGGCGCGTGGTGCAATGAGGCATGTGGTGCGAGAGGGTGCAGGGCCATGTGGTGCGAGGAGCAGAGGTCCAAGTGGTGCAAATGCACGCTACTCCTTTCCAGCCATCACACACCCTCCCTGTCTGCCCTGTCTTCCTCTCTCCCATCCCCCTGTGGGCCCCTCAGGCCACGCAGACACAATTGGCAGCCTTCGACGACTGGACCTTCCTTAACTCCCGGCACGACAGCTACGGCCAATCAGCGGCTGCCAGCATGGCAGGTGTGGTGGGGTCACAGCTGGCAAGTGTGCTGATCGCAGCGGAGTCAGACTACTTTGTGGGGTCACTGGCCTCGCGGCACACTCGCCTCATCCTCGCCTTGAGGGCCACCAATGACCGGCTTGCTGCACCTGCGGTTCTGCTGAAATAAATTAGGAACGGATGCACCTGTTTATTTTCTACTATTATTAACATTAACGTTTCTTGTATCACAGCTACGAGTGCAACTAATCGAGTGAGGATTGCACTACGGAGGCAAGAATCACAAACGTATGAGCAAAGTTGTGAGCAAATATAATGTAGCGGAATGTGCGAATTATTGGGGCGTGTTGGGCTGAAAAAACCCCTAGGATTGTTTCAAGGCTAAGACTTGAAGTGATGATGTAATTGCAGAAGGGTTGTAGTGATCTGGTTGAGCCACCTTGCACTAGTGTGTGAGAGCAAGATAGATTACTAAAAGTAAAGAGATACAAAGTTTTTATATGATTACAAGGGAATACGGTATGAAAGGTCATAACTAACTGTTGCTGTTGCTGTTGCGATTCGATACAGCTGCTACTCGGGCAACTGCTCAATAACGAGTCAGTTGTTTGTCCTTGCTGTCGCGCTGCCTTTTGGTGAGTCAAAGGTCGCTGACCTTTGACCTTCGCTTAACCTCCTTGCTGTTGCATTCTATCAACCTCTTCGGTTGACTCGCTGTTGCTTCGCTGTAGTCTGCCTCGCTTACGATTCAATGTTTCGACACATCAGAAGTGCAACCTATATGTTTCCAACACCTCTTTTCGCTTCTGGAGTGTCGTTGCTGGTGACGTGGCCTTGTCCAATCAGCAGCATGCAATACTCGAACTTCTGCTATCCGAGTTTCTTGGTCAAGTAATCTGCTGCCATCTCGGATGTGGGGCAGTAGGATAGCTCGACCCTTTTCGATCTCGTCCTTCAGAAAGAAGTATCGCAGGGCGATGTGCTTCGTTCGGTTCGCGAACCCGTTCTTGTTGGCTATGCGAATTGCTGATTGCTTATCGCAGAAGAGGGAGAAGCTGGGTAACTGGGCCAGCTTTGCTTCTTCTAGTAGGTCTCGAAGGTACAATCCTTCCTTGGTGGCTGAGCAAAGTGCGACGTATTCTGCTTCAGCTAAGGCGAGAGCAATTAGCTTTTGCTTGCTCGACTGCCACAAAATAGGACCGATAGGCTCGAGTCGGTAGATATAGCCGGAGCGTGATCGCTTGAGCGTGGTCAGCATCCACGTAGCCGATTAGTTCAGGCGTCGAGGTTCCTGTTTTGTGGTAGGTTAAGCCAATCGTTGGTGTGCTGACGAGGTAGTGCAGTGCGCGATCGAGTTCTACCATGTGCTGTGATTCGGGCTTCTTGAGATACGCGAGTTGGCTCGCTGAGTATGACAGGTCCGGTCGGCAGTTGCTCGTAAAATGACATGAAGGAGAAGAACTTCTCAATCATTCTTGGGTCGAAGCCGGTTGTTTGGTTTGCTGGAGTTTTAGTACATTCAGCAGCTGGTCTTGTTGCCGTACCTCCCTCTGTCTGCAGTCCAGAGGCTGGAGGTGGAGTAGGAGTAGTGCCGGGAGATCCGTTAGAGGAGCTTCTCTCCTTCTGTATTGCCATGTCTTGAGTTGTTGTAGAATGTTGTACAGAATTGAGTATTGCCTGTTAGCTCTCATACTTTGTTGGGCTGAGAAAAGCCCTTAGGATCGTTTCACGGCTATGACTCGAAGTGATGATGTAATTGCGGAAGCGTTGTAGTGATCTGGTTGAACCACCTTGCACTAGTGTGTGAGAGCAAGATAGATTACTTATAGTAAAGAGATACAAAGCTTTTATATGAGTATAAGGGAATATGAAAGGTCACAACTAACTGTTGCTGTTGCTGTTGCGATTTGATACAGATGCGACTCGGGCAAGCTCAATAACGAGCCAGTTATTTGTCCTTGCTGTCGCGCTTCCTTTCGGTGAGTCAGTCGCTGACCTATGAACTTCGCTTAACCTCCTTGCTGTTGCATGCTGTCAACCTCTTTGGTTGACTTGCTATTGCTTCGCTGTAGTCTGCCTCGCTTATGATTCAATGTTTCGACACATTAGAAGCGCAAACTATATGTTTCCAACAGGGTGTTCTACGGGGTTAGTGCTGAGGGCTGGACCGCGGATTACCAGCTGAGGCGTGTGGCTAAGGCGCGATGGTACAAACGGTGCTCAGGTGGAGAATGTCGTGAATGAAAACGGGATGAAGTGATTGTGGGTGCCGTGTATATTGTTTTTTGTTAGAAACTAGCGGAATGCAGTTCACTGACAAGGAGGGGGTACAAGATCAAACCCCAAAAGAGTCATACCCCTTGGAGAGTGCCACACTACAGCCTGCAAGCATATAATTAGTTTGACATAGCCCCGTAGGCTAAGTGGGGGAAAGTGTCAGAACATATAGCTTGTGCTTATTGTGTAGGCTATAGTGGGGTAGCCCATAAGGGGTACAACCCAATTAGGGTTAGTACTTGTACTCAATTCATTCATAGTTCATTCATTCTCGTTTTCTTCTCATGGTATCGAGCAGGTTCCCTCGTGGGAACTGTGCCTAGGGCCCACCAAGTCGAAAGTTTTTTTTTTTTTTCTTGCCCGGAGCGCGCTCAGCCCGAGTCGCGCTCCCTTCCTTGACTGAGTCGCGCCGCCTTAGCGGCCCCTGATTCGTCGCCCTACCTGCGCCCCGGCCCCGTCGCCCTACCTGCGCCCCGGCCCCGTCGCCCTACCTGCGCCCCGGCCCCATCGCCCTACCTTCGACCCGGCCCCTTCGCCCTACCTACGGCCCGGCCCCGGCCCTGTCGCCCTACCTTCGACCCGGCCCCGTCGCCCTACCTGCGCCCCGGCCCCGGCCCCTTCGCCCTACCTGCGCACCGGCCCCGTCGCCCTACCTTCAACCCGGCCCTGTTGCCCTACCTGCGCCCCGGCCCCGTCGCCCCACCTGCGCACCGGCCCCGTCGCCCTACCTTCGACCCGGCCCCGTCGCCCTACCTACGGCCCGACCCCGGCCCCATCGCCCTACCTGCGACCCGGCCCCGGCCCCGTCGCCCTACCTTCGACCCGGCCCCGTCGCCCTACCTGCGCCCCGGCCCCGGCCCCGTCGCCCTACCTGCGCACCGCCCCCATCGCCCTACCTTCGACCCGGCCCCGTCGCCCTACCTACGGCCCCGCCCGAACGCCTACGCAACCGAGCCGCCCGCGCCGCTAAGCCGCCCGAGCCACCCGAGCCGCCCGAGCCGCCCGAGCCGCCCGAGCCACCCGAGCCGCTCGAGCCGTCCGAGCCACCTGAGCCGCTCGAGCCGCCCGAGCCGCCCGAGCCGCCTGAGCAGCTGAGGAGCCGAGCCGCGGGTGCCGCCGAGCCGCAGTTGCTGCCAAGCCGCCCGAGCTGCCCGAACCGCCCTGTCTGGTGAGCGCAGCGCCTCTGTCACCGCACTGCCCCTGCTCTACAGTTAGCGCTGCTAGTCTACTGCTGTCATGGCTACCCCCAGTGTTCTCACTTTTGACGCTGAGGGTCGGGCCATTGACTTTAACGTCTGGGTAGATGACCTGCAGCTTTTCCTACAGTGCGATAGGGCAGACGGTCTCTCCCTCTTTGACCTCACCTCTGGTGCTTCCCCTGCCCCTGCTGCCGATGCCGACGCCACTGCTCGCTCACAGTGGGCCACTCGCGATGCTGCTGCACGTCTTGCTGTGCGTCGCCACCTGCCTACCACTGAGCGCGCGCACTTTAGTCAGTACAAGTGTTCTCAGACCTTGTACGACGCTGTAGTTGCGCGCTACTCTTCCCCTGCCACTGCTGCACTGAGCCGCCTCATGCTACCGTACCTCTTCCCTGACCTTGCTGCCTTTCCCACAGTCGCTGACCTCATTACGCACCTCCGCACTAGTTACACTCGCTACCGCGCTGCGCTTCCTGCTGACTTCTGCGCCAAGAACCCCCCCCCCCATGTACATCACTCTCTACTACATAGACACTCGCCTCCCTGACTCCCTTCGCGTAGTCAGGGACCACTTCCTCTCAGCCTGTCCCACCACCCTCACTGTTGACCTCCTCGAGAAGTCCCTCCTAGCGGCCGAGAAGAGCATAGTCGCTGTAGGGGCCTCTCGTGGTGACCCGCGCACCCCCATCTTTGAGGGGTGTTCACCCTCCCCCCTTCTACCCTCCGTTGCCTCTGCTGCTGCGGCCGACCTCCTTGGTCTTGAGTCGGTAGGTGCGGCGTCTGCCCCTAGCGGGAGACGCCGCTCTGGCAAGGGCAAGGGGGGCAGAGGCACTGGAGGAGGGAGCGGGGGCGGTGGAGGTGGAGGTGGAGGCGGCGGGGGGAGTGGGGGTGGCGGTGGGAGTGGAGGTGGGGGTGGAGGTGTCGGTGGCGGCAGTGGAGGCGGAGGCGGCGGCGGCGGTGGCGGTGGGAGCAGAGGTGGCGGAGGTGGTGGCGGTGGAGGAGGCGGCGGAGGCCGCGGCAGTAGCGGAGGCGGCGGAGGCGGTTGAGGCGGCGAGGGTGGCGGTGGAGCTGGTCGCGGGTCTACGCAGAGGAGTGGCTCCGGTGGTGGTCCGCGCCAGCAGCAGCAGCGCGGTCGTGAGACCCTGTCCCCTCAGCAGCTCCGTGAGTGGTACACTGCACGCCAGCGGGGTGGGTTGTTTGGTCCGTGCACCTACGTCCTGCGCACCAGCGACCTTGCGGGTGAGCAGTGTGGGGGTGCGCACCCCACCCAGCGCTGCTTTGGCCGCCTGACGGACGCGTGGCGTCACCAGTTCTCGAAGGCCACAGAGATCCTTCGCTGGGGCGAGCTGTCTAGGGCGGGAGTTGCCATCTATGATCTTGATTTTGATACTATCCTTTCTGCCATGTATGCTGTGTCTATTAGTGATGAGGGTGACTGTTACCGGTGTTTCCCGCCTGATCCGGGCATTGAGACTGCTGCTCTAGGTACTGGTGAGGCTGCTGCCCTAGGTGCTTGCGACGCTGCTGCTCTAGGTGCTAGTGCTTCTGCGTCCTCAGGTACTGGTGAGTCTGCGCTCTCAGGTACTGCGTCGGCTTCAGCCTCCCTCACCTTCACCCTTGACTCTGGGGCTTCTCGCTCCTTCTTTCGGGACCGCACCACACTCACGCCGCTTAGTCGGCCGGTTGCGGT